ATTTTATCCAAATAGATACAATAATATGTTGTTTTAATAAGAACAGATGAAACTATTTTTAATTCATTTAAATGACTACATATATTAGTATCGATATACGTATTAAATATATACTATTACAGGGAAAAATAGGAAAAATAGACCATGTGATTCTGTGAAAATTGTTGACAAAATATTGTGATTAACCAATTATTTTTCTTGAGCTGAGCCGCAAGATTATCAAATACTGTCTTAATTCGTTCCTTATAGATGAAGATTTGAGCTGTCTCGTGACGTATGATATAATCATGGCGCATCAATAAGGTAAAACCAATGACTTGTGCCTCGTGATTGTTGCATTATTAATCAAATATAGTGAATCATTTAAAGAGGTTAAAGAGGTTCACTTGCTCCAAGTTTGTCCCAGCGTGATATATGATGCTTCTAAGAAATATGCATTTAAAAATTTTTTATGCATATATTCTTAAAACCTTAACAAATCATTATAGCATCGTGGCGCAGATAAAATTTTTAAAATTCGTTAAAGTTAGGGTTAGGTTTAGTGTTATAAATTAGGTTGTACGGTAAAATTGCCTAACGAAAACTTTTTGTTAGAGCACTAAAGGTGGTTTCTTATGATGATTTTTGAGTTACGAGCGATTTGAAATCTTTCGTTACACTTAATCTTGAATCTGATTTGTAGCACAGGATATCTGCGCCATAACCGCACCATTTTTATTTTGTAAATATCACGTGACAGCAGCTTTGACGCTGAGATTTTTTGGCTCTAACACATGATTGTCTAAGTTCTACGTACAAATAGTATGTTTATTAAATTTGGCTTATGCGAACTGACATTATGTAACGCTTAGTATGGCTGTTTATATGTTTAGACCGGATCAATTCGACTCGGTGGTTTATATTACTCCCCTTTTTTGCCTTCTCCCTCACCCTCTTAGTAAAAAAAAATTTTTTTTTGAGATATAAATATATGGGTTTGGCCGAAGTGCATAACGCAGAGCGAAATTAATAAATAGGAATTATAAAAGTCCGAAACATTCCGAAAGAAAATGAATGAACATAAAAGGCAAGCAAGGTCAGGTCGATATTTTCCGATTGAGAAAAATTCCAATAAAATTTACTATATAAACATTACTTTTTTTTCACCCCTCCTCCTTTTTGAAAAAGGAATGTAATGTAATCCACCGAATTAAATTGATCCGGTCTTATCGTGTCAACAAATCACTATTTATGAAATTGATGTTAAATTGGTGAAATTTGAAATTTAGTGAATTAATTTCACCAGCGCAATCACTAAATAGTAACAACACTAAATCTATCGTCACTATTATTAAAAGAAATGATTTTGTATTCTTCAAAATGTCAAATATACATATATATATTAAGTCATTTAAATGAATTAAAAATAGTTTCATCTGTTCTTATTAAAACAACATATTATTGTATCTATTTGGATAAAAT